TCCAGAATATTTCCATTATATCTCCGTGATCATGTTTATCACTCCATAAATGTTCAGTTTATTTCATAAAAGCAGCAATCAGTTGAGTAAGTAATCCGGATTTTTCCCGTGATGTCATTTGTATTATTAATATAATAATAAGGACATTTGTAAATGTGTAATTAAAACGGAATGTTTATAGCTCTGGAATATTATTAAATAACTGATAAAATCGCAAATAAAAATGAGCATACAAAGCATTTTATTTGTTAACTATAAACTTGATTAAACATACTAATATACTAATACGGAAATCACACGGAAATACATTATTATTATTATTATTATTATTATTATTATTATTATTATTATTATGCAATTGCGCTCCTCGAATCTATAAATTTTTTTCTCAGACAAGCGAGAAGTTTTAACACTCTTCCGCTCCAGGGCCACAATGCTAGGGCTTCTATTCGAATAAAATGATCGACTCGAATAAAACCAATATTTTTTCTTTATCAATCTATTTTTCCTTCGTAGTCCTTGTACAGTATATAGTGATAATAACAATAAATATTAGTGGCAAAAATAATAGACATTTTTCTTTTTCTTAATTCACAATAATAACATAGATTATAAATATAATTATTGTGGTAATTTATTTTATTTTATTAAATGAAATAAGACCTTAACAATGACAACAACAATATTATAGAATTTGTTGCACCAAGCTGTGAATAAAACGAGTAATTCGAATAAAAATGAACAAAAATAATAAAATAAAATGAAATAACTCAATTAAGATCGAGTTGTATGTATTACGAATAGAAACTCTACACGGTATTCTCGTTTGCATTATCGCATTATTTGTATACCAAGATAGATTATCCTAATGTACACTAGGAAGATGAGAACAATTGTGATGGTTTAAATATTCGAGATACTTCTACATCTATAAAATGAATTTCCAAGAATCAAATCAGACAAATTATTTTTTGGTGTTTCCAGTTTGTCCAAGAGTAGCTTTCCATGTGTGTGTGTGTGTGCGCGCATGATCTTCAATAGTTGTGTTGCTTTTTTTTTGCCTTTTGAGACTTTTTGTGATATCTCTTAAACGGTCAAGTAACAAAATAATTTTTTGATCACGATATTGCATTCTTATTGGTCAATTTGACGATCTGCAAAGTAAAATTAGTCAAACGACCAACTTTTAAAGAAGATTT